TGCCCCCGTTTGGCGTGCTGTGAACCTGTGATTGGCGACAGATTGCCTGAAAACGAGACGAGATTACATTATACATGATATTGTATTGATTTCAGACGCATTTTATTATTGGATTCCATTTTTGTAATTAGCAAGAACGAAAGTGAGGAGTCAAAAGACTTTCATTTACCGATTTATTTATTCATGTCTCAAAGGGTTCATTCACAATTATATGTTGATCCAAACAGGATAAATCAGTATAATGTACCCTCTATAAAGGACCTCTCTTTTTTTGTTTGTTTGAAAATGGAACACATATCGTAGAAATAGAAAAAAAAATTACGTGGGTAGATTCCTTAGATTAGCAAAAATATTTGATCTTCGAATCTGCAATAAGCTAAAAGCAATCAATAAATATTTTTCTAGTATTTAAATGTTTATTTATTTTTGTCAAAAGAAAGAGAAAAAGACAATTGAAAAGTGTCGATGTCCGAGTGACTAGTGCTCGATACCACAAGTTTCGAGTTCGGGTCCCGGAGGTGCCATGGATGTTTTTGTTGTGGTTAACTTTAAGCTGTAGGTCCCGGTCTGTTTATCTCTCGTGTGCACAAGATAACCGTAGAACGACAAACCAAACTTTTGAATCCCAACCAAAATACCTTTTCAAACCAAGTATTATTTGGACACGATTGACTCAGACAAGACGAATGACTCCTCTCAGATTTAAAGCTATTCATATTCGATTTTTTTTATCTATTTAAAATATAATTGCTTCAAATTTTGATACCTATGCTAAAACTCCAATGGAGTGGAGAACCTTGACCTCACCGGCTTTCATCTCCACGTGCTAATACGAAAGAGGACGAAGAGGCAAAAAAAGATTTAAAAATAAGAAGACTACTTGCATATGAAAGTCAAGCATGGGTGATAAAAAGACGCGTCAATCCACGTTGAAACACAGAGTGCGCGCCATTGCAGTTAAGAACAACAAGCGAGGAGGGAAAATATCCAATCGGTTTGAGAATTTGTACTGAGAGCGCAGTATAATTGCATGCATCGGCGCTGACCTTGAATCCAACCGTTTCTTATTTTTCCCGATTCGTTTCCCTCTATAAGTTCCGTATTAATTTCGTCGAACAATCCTATTGAGCGGCGTTGATCTCGTTTCATTTGTTGATCTTCTCTTCGCCAAACGCTTCGCGCTGCAGGATTTAATTCTTTTTTCTTCGCGGCCGTTTATTTTTGCAATACATCCTCTTAGCTTTTTTTAGCCTGATTCTTTTTATACTTTCGCTCTTGCATTTCATTTCCTTATGGTTATTTTTTTTTTATCTCAATCGTAATATCCATAAGTATATTAAACTTTCTTCTTATTCCTTTCTCTTTTTAAATTATATAAGAATTTAAAAAAATATATATATATTTCCTTCATTAAATTCTTTTTCATTGGGCGAGCTCTCCATTTAGTCTTTACCATTCTATTAGCAGCAATGTTTATCTATCTTCGATGGACAAATTATACTGCAGGCATTTGGGTTAGCTAAAGATAAAATGCGGAGCTCGCAAGACAAGTTTGACATGAGTTATCACCTCTTTGAGGCGTACACTCGTGTTATTTCAAATAGTGGGTTCTGTACGACTTAACTTTCTTTGGGCCTGAGTCTCTTACCATAGGTTTCTGGAACGCAAATTCTTTGCGGCCCAAAATTCACGAGGTTAGGGAATTCTTAGATGAGCAGAACCTTGACGTATTTTTGGTTCAGGAAACAAAATTGTCTCCTGGTTATAACCCTTTGATCGCAAATTACAGGTTCTATCGTACAAATAGAGCCAACCAAAATCCTAACCGAGTAAGTGGCGAAACAGGCATCTACATCAAAAGCAATATTAATCACCACAATCTACCTATACCAGATTTAGAGTTAATAGATGCTACGTCAATAGAAATTAAAATTAATAATTTTCCTGCAATTAAAATCATTTCTGCATATATTAAGCCTAACGTTCCAGGTTGTTTCCCAGTGGAGGACTTCAATCAGCTACTTAAAACCGGAAACAATGTGATTCTAGCTGGTGGTTTTAACGCTCTTCACTCCTCTTGGAACTTTGGTCATTGAAATCGATATGGTTTTACCATGAATAGTTTTATCCAAAGTTAAAGGGGTGTGAAAGTTGTCCCCCCCCTTAAAGTTACTAGAATTGACCTTAGAAATAATCATCGCGGTAATGTACTCGATCTTGCATTTTTTAAATGTATCCCCTTTAATTATGATGTTGAGGTGCTAACAGATTTAGATTCTGATCATCTCCCCGTTGTTCTAATCTTAGATACCAGTCCTGAATCACTGAAAGTTCCGAGCCAGTTAAACACTAATTGGGAGAACTTCATGCATGTGATGAATACTAAAAAATTACCAAGCTTCATCTGAAGGTCACCACCTGATGCAGAGGAACGCATTAATGAATTAAATGAAATATATGTCACATGTCTGCAGGAAAGTTCTACCCCTAAATTTAAACCTCCACCGATAAGATTTCCAATAGACATCAAAATTCTCATGAAGAAAACAAATAAATACCGCCGCAAACGGCAACGAACCAGGGATCCTGAATATCTTAGAAATTACTTCCGCACTCTTACTGAAGTTAGGAGTGCAATCACTGTCTTTACACAGAAGCGCTGGCAAAACGACATAGAGGCCCTGACGCCTGATTCAACATCACTTAGGAAAAAATGTTCCCACCTACGCAGACAATACCACAACATTCCGCCCTTGCAGGGCGCCAACGGCCGATCAGCTTATTCCCCAGAAGATAAAGCGGAACTGCTCGCAGACAGTCCAAAGCTCAATTTAAACTTAACCACGATGTTGAAGATAAAAATTTCTTCGAACACGCTAACTCTACAATCACGGACTTCTTACAAAAACCACATGTTTAATAACTTAGACTTAATTACTCCTAAGAAAGTCTGTGATATTATCAGAAACTTCAAGAATAACGAAACCCCTGGTCTGGATCTTATTAATAATCGTATGCTAAAGTCCACACCTATTAAATTCATTCTGTATATTACCATTCTTTTTAACTTTCTACTTAGGACCTGTCATTTCCCAGCTTGCCGGAAGACTGCCCCATTCCTAAGCCAAATTCTAATTTGGCTTCTCCTCAAAATTATCGTCCTATCTCACTACTCAGTAGCTTGAGCAAAATATTCGAATCTGCGTTACTTAAACGCCTGAATCAGCATTGCGATCTTCACAATTTAATTATTCCTGAACAATTTGGATTCAGAAGGCAATTAAGTACCTGTCACCAATTACTTAGGTTGACAGAGCTGATTCATGATGGCTTTAACAAATGCAAATCTACAGGAATATTATTTTTGGACGTAGACAAAGCCTTTGATAAAATTCGGCATAATGACTTATTATTCAAGCTCATACGACTTGAATTTTCGACTCGAATCATGAAAACTCTTTACTCTTACCTACAAGTCCGAGTAGGTGGAGTTACTTCCTCATACAGACCAATAGAAGGGGGTGTTGCACAGGGATCGATTTTAGCGCCCGCCCTTTTTAACCTATACATCAACGACATTCCAAGGGATTGTCAAACATCTCTCTTTTGCTAAGCAGATGATACAGCAATAGTTACACAAAACAAAGCACCTCAGCTTGCTGTTAAAGACCTTCAATACTATGTTTACAAACTAGAAAAATGGCTAATCACCTGGAAAATAAAAGTAAACGCAACGAAATCGGCCTGTATGCTATTTACTCGGAAACATTCTTTTTCTCCGCTAGAGATTACCACTCTTTTTGGCCAGCCCGTCCCCTGAGTTATTGAATATCGGTACCTAGGGTTATTTTTAGACGCAAAATTATCTTTGAATTCCCCTAATTGCAAGTATTAAACTCAACTGCCTAATTTCTCGAAAGAGTAGGCTTGCGATCAAACACAAGCTTCTGCTCTATAAGTCTTATCATTAGACCTATTTTGGTTTATGGTAGCCCAATTTGGGCCTCCACTTCCCTGACAAATATCAAGAGACTGCAGGGTTTTCAGAATAAACACCTGGCTATGATTGCTGATGTGCCGTGGTCCGTTCGTCGAAAGATCATTCACAGAGATCTAGACGTCGAACGTATTCCAAATTATATTATCAAAATTTCTAAGAATTTTCTTGAAAAATGTCCTCAGATTAGCAACGAGTTGATCCGTCGTCTGCCGACCTATCAGCCTGGGGTGAAAAGTTCTCTGAAAAGACCAAGGGCAGTTTGCGACGTCTCCTATGATTGTTTTCCTAAAGTTAAGAGACATCATGGTGTTATTCTAAACAAGCGATCGCAAGTTCAGGTAACGGAGTGGATTTAATATTGTAATTTTACGTCCAATGAGACTATTTATCTCAATGCGTATCTGAGGAGCCGTTTGTCTTTAAAAGTTAGCGGCTTATTGCTAAACAAAACGAATTGGCGCAGATGTAAAGTGGCGGACTCCTGACCGAAAGGTTGAGGGTTCGAATCTGACACTCGGCTCAACTCACTATTTTTATATTTATGCTACGTTGTGCACCATAATCCTATCATAACGACTAGTGAATAGTTAGGTTATTATTGTACGCTTTTTTACCCCCTTTTTTTGCTAGAAAAATAAAAGGATGGAATAAAACCAAAAAAAAATAAAAATTATAAAATCGAAAATATATAAATATCGGTTCTGATTTCGGCCTTTTTTTTGTGTTGTTGTTGTTTCTTATCCCACTTGGCTGGCCAAGCCCACAAGCCCATATGGACTCATGATTGAAGGGGAAGGAAGCAGCTTCTGTTGTGATGGAGCACCCGTAGGTAGAAGCCTGACTTTTGCTCCGTGACGCTCTTACAGTCATAGAAGACCGGGACCTACGGCTTAAAGGGGATTCCGAACCACTACAAACATCCATGGCACCGCCGGGATTCGAACCCGAAACCTGTGGCACCGAGCGCTAGACACTCCGCCATTCAGGTCCCAAATTTGCCAACGGCACGCAGTGTTTCCAGGTGGTCACCCACCCAAGTACTGACCGTGCCCAATGATGCTTAACTTCGGTGATCTAACGAGAACCGGTATATTCAGCATGGTACGGCCGTTGGCAAATTTTTTTTTGTGTGGATAATCTATTTACTTTTCAGCATCACTCATCATGGCTCCTACTGTTCAGCATAATCCCTATGTGTACTTGTGTTTTTTAAATGAGTTCATACTCTGTTTATTTTTTCAATAGTTTTGGCATCGACAACTGGTCCCTAATTGTACCGAATTTAATTTTAACCTTAATTTCTTTTCTTTTGCATTTTACTTTTTATTATTAGTATTTTTAATCTTTTTTTCGAGTACCATTTAACTTGAATTTTTTGAAACTTTATCTTGTATTTCTACTAACATTAATGAAGCAGCCAATTAAAATTCAAAGCCTATCTATGAATTAAGATGAGGAGGTTTAAGGGGTATTTCCGTAATCGGTACGCCAGTTGCCAGTCAATTCCAGATCGGAGCTGCACGAAATAGTAGTATCGGTGTTTATTGTTTAGCAAGAATTCTAGTTGGAAGTCGCGGTTACGAATTCATTCAGTCATTCATAAACGGGATAGTGAGGATATCGATGTTGCAAAAGAATCGCTGTAGTTGAATTTTATTTATTTTCAACAATTTGGGTCACTCTTTTTTATTCTGGTCTTAAATCTTTGGGCCCTTTTTCTGCTGTCATTCTCGCTTGAAACTTCCTTCTATTCGCTTAGTATTGGAACAATTTTATTGCAAATGAGTCTCTGAATTGTACCACTGATCTATTTCATTTTACTTTTTTCCATATCGTTTTGTTCAGGAGTCGATGAGTTTTAATAAACTTTTGTAACGAGCTCTTTTCTTCGGAAGTTATTTTCTGGGAGCTTTCTTCCATTAGCCATTTCTAATTTCTAACGAGTCACTTGTTAAGAATGCACAGTTGGAAACGTTTATCGTTTCTCATAACATGTTTCTGAGGTGGAGTGTTAAAAAGAGAAAAAAAAATATTGGGCAGAGCCGCCGAGTTATACCAAACAAAATGAAAGATCCAAATATCAGAGATGCTTCCAAGACCTCGTTTCGCTAAGTTAATAAAACACGTGACTCGAAGCTTCAATAAAGCACTTGATCTTTTTTTTTGTTATTATATATAAAGTCTTTCTGGATTCAATAAAAATAATAAAATTGTGAACAGAATGACATGAAACATAATTCGTCTTAGGGAGATATTCAATAAAGCAATCCGTATCCCTTTACTATGCAGAAACTCGCCCACTTAAATCCAAATAAAATTGCAGCTGTACAAAGTTTATCTCATAACCTACGCGAGTCCAGTCTGGGGATCAGTATCCAAATCTAATATTGCCATCCTAAGCCGCTTGAAAAATAAAAGGCTCCGTATGCGCACGCTGGTTCTTCCGCAACACCGATATTCATCGCTCTTTAAATTTGCAAACTCTCCCCCAATTCATCTCAAAACTAGCGCATAACTTTTACACTAGCTGCTTAAAAGACTCCCAGAATAAGATACATCTGCTAATTGGCTGCTCCTGACTTGTTTATTATGCCCGCGCAAACGCTTCGAGCGGATTCACGGAACATTCTCATACAAAAGCGCTGACCTTGATTCGTTTGTTGAACTTTTCCCCGGTCCGCTCTCTTCGCGGCGCTGGTTAAGTTCCTCCTCTTAGTTTTAAATCGGTTCTGTGCTTTTTCCCCAAGGTCCCAATTAATTATCGAAAGATCTGAATGTTTTATCTCTTTTCGCAGGCTGGTGGGGTTGTTTCGTCTGAGAGAGAGCTCTTCCAACGACTTTGTTATGAAATGTTAGTCGCCACTCCTGTGAATGGCGCCTGTTTTTGCAAGAAGATCCACGGAATACGAATGAAAACATTCGGCATAATAACTGCTGATAATTGGCAAAGTTTCTGGCGTTTGATATTCACTGAAAAAAAAATTATAAATTAATATAAGCCATCCGTTACGCTGGACATTTTTTAAAAGCTCTACTTTTAATCTATAGACAAGACATGTATCTACAGGGTGTTGCGATGTTTTTTTTTTTAATTGGAAGCGGTCGAGGAAAAAATAAGCATTCTACAGTACAGTGGGGAATCTTTTTACTTGCTGTTGAGGCTGACGAATTCATGCCTTGTTTTCATAATTTTGTTTACACAAGCCGTGGCCATGCTCCGACACGGAAGCTTTCGATTCGTTATAACTCACGGATCTCGAACAAAACTTTCTGTGAGCGTTCGTGTAACCTTCAGCTTAAACTTTTTAAAAAATGAATTCGTTTTTCAAAATATTTTATTCAAGTTTATTCATTTATTTAAATTGAAGTCACTTTCATCTGTTTTATATATTTTATACAACTGCAGGCAGTAAACGGTACAATAAATATTTGTATAATATTGTAAATTGTATAATAAATATGTATGTATTTATTGTAAACGGTATATGCATAATTTATAAGTGATAGATTCCTGTTCTATGGTGAGTTCGTGTCTTTGATTCAACACGCAGATTCCACTCCTTTTTGCAAGCAATAACCGCAACGAAAGCTTCAAGCGAACCTGAGCTCTCCTGCCAAATAATAATAATAATTAAAATTAGAGAAATAATAAGAGTGTCTTTAATATTAGTATCATCGGAAATGTGTGTAATTCACACACACACACACACACACACACACACACAAAAAAAAATATGTTACAAATTATTCCCTAAATAATTCGGCACAAATATATTTGAAATAAGTCTTTTACTGTTACGTTTTAGACGTTAAACCAACGAATTCTCTTATTGGTTCAATGGTTTCACTTTTGAAATATCCTAGTTTTCCTTTGTTTGAGTCATCCTATAAGAAATAGTTTTTCGGATAATTACTGAAGTCAAATATATTGTCTAAAGTGTTTTTCATGTCTAAAAATATGTTCTTAGTTTGAATCGAAAGATACAACGAGTCTGTGTCCATATAAAGAAGTTCACTTTTTTCCTCCATACAACGCCTTAAAGTTAAGATAGTATAATTTGTACATATGCAATTTTGAAAGCTCGAGAATGCAAAATCGTCCATAAATTGACTTAAAAGGTTTTCGCATTTTAAAAATTGTTAATTTCTCGTTAATTGGTTCGAAATACTCTAACAGAGGACTCGAAAGATTATTTTGACAATCTTTTTCGGTGGGCGACGCTCGAACAGAGATTTTTTTCTCTGATTGAGCATCAAACGTCCCAAGAAAGAATTGCTCATTTTCTTGCAAAACGCACGTGTAAAATCGACCTTTAGCTTCTTTTCGTTTCTCGTTATGGAAGTGTGCTAACCAGGAGCGTTGTCTAAATGCTAATATTCTATGATATTTTATTCAACAATCAGGCCTTCTCCAATATAAAATTGCAAATTTAAATAGTGTGTTATATAATTTTTTTTTAGGATAAAAATTTGGCGTTAATGTTTTACTAGGAAATTAAGTTTTATCACACAGCCTCTGTGAATAAGAAGATAGCAAGTCATATGTGATGGTTAAGTGCTCCGGTGCGAGTGGCAAATCGTTTGTTTTTAGTTGAAGTCTTTTTGGACATCGTAGATCTACCTTCACAATGAATCCTACCTCCGAATTTTTACCATATTTAAAGACATTAAAATCAAGCACTTCTTCGGGCGTCAACCACGAAAAATTGCCAACGGGCAGAATAAATTGTTAGCATCTAAAGCCACAATATAATTGTGTGGTTTATTTATATCGTAATCTTTAACGTAAGGAAGGATCATTAGATTTAATATATCCTTTTCCTAAAAAACAAATACCACCTCGCATTTGACTCTCGAATCATATATAATCGTTTACATTTGATAACAGTTACTTTTGTGAACTTTAAGCCCGGCATTCCAGGTCAAAGATAATTAACAACTTCAGATAAATTATGAAAACATATCATTCCCAAAGACATCTTTTGACATTAGTATTGTCCTAGAATATTTCATTTTGTCACATTTTTAGATTCATTTCTTACAAGCAGAACAAATACGTAAAAATATAACATTGTTTTCACATTTTCACAAACGGTGCAAATAAAAGACAATTTCATTGTCAGTTAACATTCGGAAATAACCAAATTTCGCTTCAAAATTTGGGCAGTCTGGTATGTCACCCCAAGAGACTGTTCAAAATTGAGTCAAACGGAATTTTATATGAAGAGTAGACCATGCATTTCTCAGAGGAATTATATTTTGTTAATTGGCAGAAACCAAATTGTTTCTTCTCGCTCGATATATCTTGTAGAAACTGAACTATTTCTGAGGTCGTCAAAATTATCGTAAAGTAGGTTAAATAATCCCATTCTGAGTACGGATCTAAATTCACAGCATATGTTATGATTGTTATATATCCTTCGATTTTTTAGACTTTTATTTATTTTTTCATAACTCGTTTAGGCTATAATTTAGAGCATATGTTATTCAAGTACATAAGGACCATTCTCTTAAATATAAGTGATAAGAAAGAAACATTCTGTAATTTTGTCGATGTGTTTAGCAAGCAGGGTATGATTTAGCTGTTGATGTTTAAACAATTCATTCCAATCTAAAATATCTCTCTATAACTGTGGGGCTGAGTACTTGATGTCTCGAAATCAATGTCATATCCAGCAGATCGTAGTTGGAATTCTGATATTTTCCTCCAATCCATTAAATGTTTGTTCTCAATCATAAAAATAGATTGAAATTCTGAGAAATGACATATCTTGTTCCAGTCGACTTTTGATTAAATTCTGCAATAAAACTTTCAGAAAGCGTTTGATATTGAGATAAAATACTCCAATCGAGATTATCCCTCGAAAGCACAACCCAGTCAACCTGTGGACTCCCCATGATAATCGAGATCAGTCAAGTTATAGCGACAACTCGCAATATGATATAACATTTTATAATCTTGTTGTCATATTTTGGAGAGATCGACAGAACTGATTGGAGTAAAGGGTAGTAGAATGATTTGTTCATTTTAACTGTACACATAGATGAATCTGTGTTCACGATAAATTGGTAATGTCCTCGCTTTTCGGGGAGCATATCACTCGCAAAAACT